AAGAAGGTTTGAGTTCAAACCACACAGAGACTTGCTAGAACTGGGTGAGTAAAAAAGGTGCAGATAGGAGACCAGAGACAAGGACTGTATTGTGCAGGTGAATTGCTATGATGTTATTCTAGGTATGCTTGGCAGCTGTTCAAGGGATTTGAGCATAGGCATATCCAAGCATATCTAAGCTTCTATTTGAAAAGCTGGTTGGAAAAAACAAGGAAATAAAGGGTCTGGGAACTGGTGGCCCATGCCCATAATCCTAGCTACCCAGGAGGCTGAGATCAAAAGAATTGCAGTTCAAAGCCAGCCTGGGCAGGAATGTCCAAGAGACTTTACCTCCAAAATCGCCAGGGAAAAAAATGGACCAGAGGCATGGCTTAAATGGTAAAGTATCAGCTGTGAATGAAAAAACTAAGGGATAGTGCTCTGGGCCCACAGCACAAGCCTGGTATTGGCCAAAAAAAAAAAAAAAATCCATCCCAAAGTAATCAGGAATTACAACAGGTAGTCCACGAGCACATCTTGCCTCCAAAATTGTTTTGTATGAGCACTTTTTTTTGTCAGTTGCAAGGCTTGAACTCTGGGCCTGGGACTGTTCCTGAGCTCTTCAACTCAAGGCAAGTGCTCTACCACTTGAGCCACAGCGCCACTTCCAGTTTTCTGGTGGTTTATTGGAGATGAGTCTCATGGACTTTCCCACTTGGGCTGGCTTTAAACAGCAATCCTCAAATCTCAGCCTCTTGAGCAGCTAGGATTACAGGCATGATCCACCAGTGCCCAGCTGTATGAGCACTTTCATTAGTACCTCACATAATAGTTGTTAAAAATTTCAATCACTTGTCCATATTTAACACTGGAAACTTTGCCTTAAAATGCGTGTTTCTGACTCTTCTTGGAAAATGGAAAGCTCTGGTCATACTGGCCCTACATGCTTGCCCACTAGTGAATGACTGATGCTGAATGGGCACTGCCCACTTTGTGAGCATGGGAGCATGTGCTGTCCAATGTGCCTCATACTCTGCCACTCACCTTGGTCTGTCTTACTCTAGGCCAAGTGTGAGTCTCCACCTACCACCCCAACTTAGTAGTATAGCTTTGTTTGCTTTTGGAGTAGAGTCAAACAAAAAGAAACTTTCTTGTACTCATGATTCCAAGTAGGAAAATGAATAGTGCATCAAGAATGCTCCATAAGTCTTGCCCCAATTTGCTTTCCTCTCATTTAGTTTGTTCTCAGATTTTCTAGTCATTCAGGTTTGCTTCCTCTGATCTAAACCCCTTGTCTCCCCAGGCCTTTAGAATTTTCTCAGGCTGCCACCCACCACTGGAAAAGCTGGACTTCAAGGGGAAACAATAGGCATTATTTAGGCTTACATTTATATTGTTACCCAAATTCAATATTGCTCATCATCAACTTTTGGTGAAAATTATTTCTGTTGTTTTTCTTAATTGCCTCCAAATGTAACTAGAGAGTAGGTCAGGCAACAGAAAATACAGCACCCAACTTTCCTTTCTGTGATCATGTGTTGTTGGAACACAGTGATGTGGAATTTTGTCCCTCCATGTATTTACTCATTCCTCAAGCTCTGGCTGTGCTGACAGATGGAGGGATCCTTGCTTCAGCAGCAGGATCTGCTGAGGATTGACCTCAGCACAGACAATCACACAAGCAAAAGGCAAGAGTGGAATGCATGGCTGGGGCCCCTCTGAACTGAAGAGTTGGACTTCATTCACAGGTGGTCAGGAGCTACGGGAAGTTTTCTGGCAGCAGTTGTCAGGAGTCAGCTCCAGAACCAGAAACACAGGTGGATGAGGCTGCTTCAGTGATCCAAGTAATCAATTATATGGCTAAGGCAGAGACAGAAATGAGGGGACAGATTTCAGAGACAGCTTGAAGTTAGGCTTAGCAAATCTTAAGATGTGAAAAGGTTATGAGTCAAGAGACAAAGTGCTGGGTGCTTGTGGCTCACACCTGAAATCTTACTCAGGAGGGTGAGATATAAGAATCACAGTTCAAAGCCAACCCAGACAGGAAAGTTCATGACATGCTCATTGTCTATTAGCCAGCAAAAGAGCTAGAATGGGAGCTGGGGCTCAAGTGATAAAGTGCTAGCTTTGAGCAAAAGATAGGAAGAATCAAAGATGGTCCAGAAGTTTTGAGTTTAAGGGTTTCAAACACTGAAAACAGAGGTGGAAAAAAGTAGTAAATTGGACCTCACTGAAACTAAATTTTGCTTTCTCTTGTTAGTAAAATAGAGACATAACTTGGGCTGGGAAGGTGGCTCAGTGGTAGAGCGCTTGCCTTGCATGCATGAGGCCCTGGGTTCGATTCCTCAGCAGCACCACATAAGCAGAAAAAAAGCCGGAAGTGACGCTGTGGCTTAAGTGGTAGAGCGCTAGCCTTGAGCTGAAGAGCTGAGGGACAGCGCCCAGGCCCAGAGTTCAGGCCCCATGACCGGACCCCCCCCCCCAAAAAAAAAATTAGAGACATAACTTATGTACTAACATAAAATATTTGCAAGTTATACAACTAACAGAAGATATATCTCAAACCAAAGCTCTCCAAAATCAACATTTCTAAAAATTCCAGATTAAAAAATGGGCAACAGACTAAGAATATGAAGATAGAAAATAAACACATACAAGGCATTTGACATTGGGCTGGAGAGTGTAGCTCAAGTGGCCTTGCAAGCTTGAGGCTCTGAGTTCAATCCTTGATACTGACGGGGGGGGGGGGGGGGGGATAGAAAGATGTTCAACATCCCTATATAATTAGAAGAGTGCAAATGGAGAGCTCAGTGAGACAAGACATCACTGTGCCCTGACTAGAACAGACAAAACAAACAGCACCAAATGCTGCCAAGGTTGTTGAAAAATGAGATTCCTCATACATCCCTGATGGGACTATAAATGACACAATGACTCTGGAAAACATGTTGACAGTTTGTTATAAAACTAAACATGCAAGCCAGGCACCAGTGGCTCATACCTGTAATCTTAGCTACCCTGGAGGCTGAGATCCAGAGATCATAGTTCAAAGCCAGCCCAGGGAAGAAAATTCAACAAGGCTCTAAGTCCAAAAATAACCAGCAGCTGGTCACCTGTGAGTCATGCCTGTAATCCTAGCTACTCAGGAAGTTGAGATCTGAGGATTACGGTACAAAACAAGCTCAAGCAGGAAAGTCTGTGAGACTCTTACCTCCATTTAACCAGCAAAAAGCTGCAACTGGAGCTGTGGTTCATGTGATAGAGTGTGAGTCTTGATCACAGAAGCTCAGAGACATGCCCAGGCCCCAAATTCAAGGCCTAGAACTGGCACACATACACACAAAAAAAGTTCATGAAGCCAGGCACTGGTGACTCACGCCTGTAATCCTAGCTACTCAGGAGGCTGAGATCTGAGGATCTTGGCTCAAAGCCAGCCTGGGCAGGAAAGTCTGTGAGACTCTTATCGCCAATAAAAACCACTAGAAAACCGGAAGTGGCATTGTAGCTCAAGCGGTACAGTGCTCGCCTTGAACTGAAGAGCTGAGGGACAGCACCCAAGCCCAGAGTTCAAGCCCCACGACCGACCAAAAAAAAGTTCATGAGACTTTATCTCAATCAGTGGTTGGGCACACACCTGTTATCCCAGCTGGGTATAGTGACAGGAACCTCTCATCCTTAGTGACATGGGGATCACAGCCCAGGCCAATCTAGACAGAAAGTGAGACTCTGCCTCATAAAAAGGAGCGGAAGAGAGTAGTTATAGAGAGGCTGAGATTGATTAGAACATATTATATGCTATATACTATATAACTAATGTAAACCAGTAAACAAGGGAATGTGGCTTTTGTGGCCTACCTTGCAAGTGTAAGTCCCTGAGATAAATCCCCAGTACCATCAAAAAAAATCACAGATCTGCATGCACACACATACACATGTGCACACACACACACATACACATATCAATGTTACTAGGGATTAAGGGAAAAAAAGTTAAAATCTTGGGGCTAAAAGTGTATCTGAGTGGGAGAGCACTTGCTTGCCTAGCATATTTTAGGCCTCATGTTTGTACCCCAACACCACAATAAAATATAAATAAATTTATTTTAAAAGTTACAGTAGAGGGCTAAAGAAGTAGCTCAACGGTAGAACACTTGCCAAGCATGTACAAGTATATGAGACCCTGAATTCAGTTCCCAGCACAATAAATAAATGGTTTGTTTCTGATTGGATTCTTCTTTCCTTCCTTTCTTACATTCACCCATTCACTCAGCTATTTGCTGATACATTTACTATGTAAGAGACACTGTGCCACACTTTACAGATCAACAGAAAGTAGGACAGCCCAGGTCCCTGCTCTGTTTGGAAGATTTCAGAGGAGTGAGCAGTAGAGTTTGGAGGCCGATAGTTTACTTGGGGAAATGGGGCAAGGAAAAGACTGCCAGGGACCAAGTGAGCAAACTTTTTATTCTTAGAGCCCAGTTCTATATGATTGAAAGTGTCTCCCCTTTCCTAAAAAGCTCTGAAGGCAATAAAAGGTCCTTACTCCATACTTCACAGGTACTCACAAAAACTAAACTACCAGGCAGATTGTGCCCTGCAAAGAGGGAAAAGGGAGAATAAAGGGAAATTGGATGTGGCTAACTGAACTATGAAAAAGCATTGTCTGAATGTTCATGCACGTAATTGGGGGATGCTTAAAACAACCATTTGTTTAGCTCATAACTCTGGATTGGTGACAAACCTAGGCTCAGCTGAGTGGTTCTTCTGGTTTGGGCCATACTCACCCAGTATCTACAATCAGCTGGCTATCAAAAGCTCACTTATCTGTTGGTTGCTGGAATGATAGGGGTACCTGGTACTTTGTCTCTCATCATCCAACAGGCTAGCCTGGGCTTGTTCACACAGTGGGGTCACAGGGTTCCCAAATGCAAACACTTTCTTTTCTTTCTCACAGCTTTATTGAATTGTATAATTCATACATATCACCTGAATTCAAATTCTGTTTTCTCTCCTGTTTGCAGGCAATCTGAAGCATGTGGTCTAATTGACAAAAAGAGATCATATTTCCAGAGCTGAGAAGCAGTGCCTGTAATGAAGACAGTGTGTTTATGTGAGCAGTTTGTGGAATTTGTGACTGCAGGGGAAGTTTGGAAGAAATTACTTCCTGAAAATTTCCAAGTGGTACCAAGTGGCAACTGGCCTCCTGGGGTGAAGAGGCAGGCACCCCAGAGTCCTCAACTAGACCTAGGGGAAGAGGGAGATATTCAGCATTTAAAAGTGTTTATTTTTTTTTAAATACACATTTTTAATCTCTGGAGATTATTTTTGAGTAAGTTGGGGAAGGGGTATTTTTTATTTTCTTAAAGGAGACAGACAAAATGCTGGAGGATAGTACAGAATTTGCTGATCACCAGTTTCTTGGTTGAGAGGCACTGGATAGGAACAGTTACCAACAGGAACAGTTATGACATCAGGATCATCCAGGTAGAACCTGGAGGAGGGGGGACCAATTATGAGTGGGAGGTAAGGAAGAAGTCCACAGGTGGTGTTTTAGGATTCTGAATTTATGTTGTTTATTAATAAAATATTTGAAAACTTACCTCTTGTTCCCATTGTCCTCGTTATAAACTGCCACTGACTGTACACACAGTTCTGAACATTTCCTCTCACTGAAGTATTTAACATAAGCCTGCAGCTTTCATGCTGTGCTCTGACCCAGCCTGGGGGGGCTCACCCTGAGTGCTGGACCCCCTGGAAAACTAATATGTCCCTAGCCCAATTCCTTTGGACAGAAGGCAAGCTCTACCATGGGGCCCAGCCATAGGAAAGAAGGTACATGAATACAGGCTCTGCAACCGTGGAGAGGGTCTTGCTAGAACCCTGGAGGAGTGCTTTTTCCAGAAAAAGATTTAGGGATGGATAGAGCAGGTTGGCATGTCAGCTCTCAAAGGGGACATTTCCATGGTTAGAGAGGATGCTTCCTAGTAATTATTGTCAGTATACATGGTGAAAAGGGGACATGGCCCAAATGGTTGTTGTCATCATCCTGGAAGATAACAAATGAGGATTAAAAATTATGAGAGATGAGGTCAAGGAAGGGACAACCGCATGTAATGATTTTATAACTTGGTTTACCAAATATTTATGAAACTCTTTCAACTGCTGGAAGACAGGGGCACAGCTCGTCCTGGCCAGCAAGGAATTTCCAGACAAGCCAAAGGAGGAGGGAAAGAAGCAGGTCCCAGCTTGTTTGAACTATGTTTGCAACACAAACAGAGGTTAAGGGAGCACTGAACAGGGAGCAAATCACCCCATGGAACAGGCATCTCAGAGAGGTTCTGAGGGGTGATATTTGAGCCAGCCTTGCGGGGAATGACTTGTACTTCTCCAGGCCCCTAAGCCAGTGGGGGAAGGGCATTCCATAGAAGGAAATGGGGAAAGGCTGGAATGTGCTCTGGGATGGGAATAGTCAATCTCATTAAACAGAGAGGTATGCCTGGTGGGCTAGGAACACTAGTCACTTCAAATGCCCATAATTCTCATTACACATTCTCAGCTTAAGTGCAGTTTCACTCATACCAAAAAGAAAGAGTTTTTTGTCTTTTAAATCAAAGAGTAAGGAAGCATCAAATGGCTAGTGCAGAGTTAGGGGAAGGCCAGGGAAAACAGCAAGTAAACAATCTCCAACTACCAGCTTGCAAGAACCCAGACAGAACTCTGGGAAGAACTCACCCTCGAAGTAATTGCTCAAATCTCTGTGAAGGCCTAAACCCTAGAAGCAGCCACGTGACAAAGATTGATGGCCAATTGATGCCCCATGTTCCTTTCGATGGGAATGGATCTGAGCAAGGATGTGCCACAAGTGGTGGAGAGTGCCAAAAGGTCCCTGGCACTAGGAGAGCCTTTGCTGAGTGGCTGATACCACCTTCACCTAGCCAAGGTATCAGTGCCTAGCAGTGAATCACTCCAGCCTCAGCTCTGGCCCAATAAGAACCAAAAATAAGCTGTAGAACAACCTACTTACTGCCTAGCTTCTATAAACTGGTCCTGCTTGTCAGAGAGGGCACCACGTGGGCCTTAAGGATTACTGTTCATTTGATTTTTTGTGAGAAATGCTGAGCCAGGGGTGCAGCTCAGTGATAGGACATTTGCCTAAAATGTACAAGGCCCTGGGTTCCATTTCTAGCACAGAAAAAAAAGAAGAGAGGGAACGAAAGAGGGAAGAAAGAAGGATGAGAAAGAGAAAGGGAAGATGTGAGGGAGGGAGAAGTGAGGGAAAGAAAAGGAAGGAAGAAAGGCAAGAAAAAGAAGGAAAGAAGGAAAGAAAAGGAAGGAAAGAAAAATGGAGGGAAAGAAGGAAGGAAAAAATGCTAAGCTAAAAGTCATAGGTAAAAGGTGGAATCCTTTGAAGTACTTAAAAATTTAAATTAACATACCCCAAAGGCAAGTACAGCATCCACAAAACCAGCATGACAGAGTCAGAATTGTTCTGCCCAGAATTATGACAAATGTATAGGGGATAAAATTAAGACTGAAGGAAACACACCAAAATATAACTGAGGCAGGCTTTTGTGGAGAAAGAAAGTAAAAAAGATGATTTCTTTTTTTTCTTCTATTTTTAAGTAGTTTCCAAAATTTCTTTACTGTACATGTTTTACTTTTATATTAGGAGTAAAAAAAAAAAAAAAAGCTCAGTGGTATATAGAGGCCTGGGCTCCATCCTTAGTACCAAAAAAAAAGGAGTAATAAATGAACTTTAAAAAACATTGATTTGAAGAGATGGTTACAGATCAAAGTCAGTGCAAGACACCCACATAGGAAGACCTTGTGCTCAGGCCCCAGGGCTGTTCTAATTGCCCAAGAGGCTCTGAGCTGGCCTGGTCAGCTTGAAGTCCTCATGATTTACAAATCACTAAGCCTGAGAGAGCTTTTGGAAGAAACTGGCTTAAGGGCAAGGCAAGTTTGTACCCATTGTGAGCCTGTCTTTTGCTCTGGAAACAGTTGCCAGCCACCACCCCCCACCCCCTCTGACTTCTCCCCTATGCCAGCAAAGGAGCAGCTCAAAGCCCCTAATTACAATTGTGAGGCAAGTGCTGGAATGTGCCCCTTTTTTACAGGTAATTTTCACTTAAATATGTCACTTTACATCGTGCTGGGTGGGTATTGGCATCCGTACTTGAAAGGAGAGGGAACTGAGCCCCCAAACTAGAGATCCTTTGCCCACTTGTAACTGGTATGGCAAGGCAGAACAACCCTATCTAGAACCTGCAAGTCCCCTTACTTTCCCCTGCCCTCCATTACTGCTATTAGTATATTTTTTAATAAGCTATGGAATCAACAACTTTTTTTTTAATTGTTTCCAAAGTCCAAGCTAGACCAAACCACACACTGCTCCTGGGCCCTCACCCTACAATGACAACACTAATTAGTTGTGTCTTTTCAGCAGGTTTTTTTAGCCTTTCTGAGTTGGTTTCCTTACACAGAAAATGGGGCAATAATTCTTGCACTCTCATGGGCTATTGTAAGTGGTTGATGACTTAGCAAAGATGGAAGACCTTTGAAAAGAGCTTCAAGTGTTGTGTTCAGCAGGATCTGCCAAGAAAATAGCCCAAGAAAGGCTTATCACTGAGAAGAATCCAGTGCTTCCAGGAGACCCCCACCCCTCCCAGCCTGCACCATTTCCAAGGCACTCACAAGGGCCAGAGAGAAAACAAAAACAAACAACAACAACAAAAAAAAAACAGGCTGCATTTACAACCTGAGGGTTTAAAAAAAAAATCTGAAAAAGAAGACACAGAACTGGGCACTGGTGGCTCATGCTTTTAATCCTAGCTACTCAGGAGGCTGAGATCTGAGTATTGCTGTTCAAAGCCAGCCTGGACAGGAAAGTCCATGAGATTCTTACGTCTAATTAACCAGAAAAAAGCCAATAGTGGAGCTGTGGCTCAAGTAGTAGAGCACCAACCTTGAGTGAAAAAGCTCAAGGATGGAACCCAGACCCTGAGTCTGAGCTCCTGGACCTGAACAACCAAAGAAAAATACACAAGGCTATATATAATATGTATATATATACATGCATATATATTATATAACATATTGTATAATATTAACTACATAATACTATGAAGCATAACTTACTGTGAAATAGCAATGTAATTATGTACTTATATAATAATTATATAATATACTATATACAATATTATATATGGTAGATATGCATGTATTTGCATAAATACACAAGAAACTGGGATACAGTGATTACCTCCAGGCAAGGGAACCAGGTGGCAAGTGGAAAGAGAGTGAGGGAGACTTGCACTGTTTCTTTTTGTACCTTTTGATTTTTGAACTGTGTAGAAATATTACCAGGTTCTCCAAAAAGTAAATAAATGATATTTAAAAAGAAAAAAAAAACTATGGAAAATTCCCATACCAGTTTACCTTTGGAGAGGGTGGCTGTCATAGAGAGCAGTATATTTTCAATTCTATATTTTAAAGACCCTTTCTAAGTTAAAGTCATTATTAGGAAATCAATAATTGTCATTCAATAAGAAAAACAGAAGGAAAAAAAGAGGAAGAATAGAACGCAAAAGAAGACAAGTGACAGTGGGAGGCCTTGAGTTCAAGCCCCAGTTCTGGCACACACAGAAAGAAAAGAGAAAAGGAAAGGAAAGGAAAGAAAAGATAAAAGAAAAGAAAAGAGGGCTGGGAATGTGGCTCAGTGGTAGAGTGCTTGCCTAGTATATATGAAGCCCTAGGTTTGATTCCTCAGTACCACATAAACAGAAAAAGCCAGAAGTGGTGCTGTGGCTCAAGTGGTGGAGTGCTAGCCTTCAGCAAAAAGAAGCTCAGTGGCAGTGCCCAGGCCCTGAGTTTAAATGACTGGAGAAAAAGAAAAAGAAAGACAGACAGAGATAGGGGATGAAGAAAAAAAAGAAAGAAAAAAGGAAAGAAAGAGAAAGAGAAAGAAAAGAAAAAGAGAGAGAGGGAAGGAGGGAGGGAGGGAGGGAGGGAGGAAGGAAGGAAGGAAGGAAGGAAGACAAGATGAGAGAAGGTGGAGAGAAAATAAAAGAAAGAGAAAGGAAAGAAGGGAGGAGGGGAAGGAGGGGAGAAAAAAAGAAAGCAATCAAGTAGGTTTTGCTATCTCTATATCCCTGTCCAAAAAGTTTCTGCAGCATCTATCCAGATGCATTTGTAAGAAGCAGGTCCACACATAGCTAGCAAGATCAATAGAAAGCCCACAGATTGGGAGAAGATCTTCACTAGCCATACAACGGACAAGGGTCTCATATCTAAAATATACCTGGAACTCAAAAAATTAAATCCCCCAACAACAAATCCTCAAAGAAATAATTGCCCAATAAATAAGTGGGCAAATGACTTAAAGAGAAACTTCTCTGAAGAACAAAGAAGGATGGCCAATAGACACATGAAGAAATGCTCAACCTCCCTAGCCATCAAAGAAATGCAAATCAAAACAACATTGAGATACCACCTTACCCCAGTTAGAATGGCAAAAATCAAGAACTCTAGCAACAACAGATGCTGGAGGGGATGTGGACAGAAGGGAACCTTACTTCATTGTTGGTGGGAGTGTAAACT